GGTCTAGCCAGATTTGTAAGGTAGAATTGGGATCATGATAGTGGGCAGGGGTGGTGGGAGGAAGCATTTAAGAACTAGAGGAAAGTTGTGTTTCATTGTTGCTACATCGCACCCTGACTGTTGTTTATCAGAGCATGTGACAAAGTTCTTTCAGGTCTGATAGTAAATGCCCAAAGGGGCATACCATTCACTGTAAGCCTCATTCCGAAGGTATTCAGCTCAAGCTCTGTGGATCAGCAAACCCAGCTCCCTGAACTAAGTGCCCAGAGGCCCACACTCCTGTAAACCTTAGCCAAAGGCACTCAGCTCCACTTTCATGGATCAGCCAGCTCAATTTCCCCAGTTAAGTGCCCAGAGGGGACTCTGATCCACAAGCCAGCCTCTTGCACAAATGCACTTAGCTCTACTTGCTCTGTGGGTTGGGAAGCCCCCTACTGTGTTTCATGCTCTGGCTCCTGGTCCTGCTGCTGCTCCTCAGATGTGTTATAGCTGTCTTCTGAATCCAGGAGGTTCGCTGTGCAGGAATCTTGGTCCAGAGAACTGGCTCCACTCCTGCCTATTGCTGGTAATGAAATCCTTCCTCTAGTTGCTCAGAGGGATGGTTTGTATTCTACAGAGCAGGGTGCCACTCCAGGAAGTCCTGTTTGAAATTGCTCACAGGCGAGTTCTATCAGTACCTCTCCCACCTTCTTACCAGACCTGTGCAGGAAAAGGCCGCTTGGTGGCAGAGCCTGGCTAGAAGAGCCACACTAAACAGTTCACTGCCCCTGCGTTTATCTCGTAATGTTATCTGCAAACAGCCCTCTTCTTGCTCCTCCTGGATCCCTGTGTCCATCTGTCCTTCTTTCCTGCCTTCTGAACTTCATTTGGGGGGAAAGACCGCCCTTTTGGTCATGTAGGGTCAGTTGATCTGAGGATTACGTGGCTGTGAGTGTTATTGTTTGCTTTATAGGCCTGTCTGTTGTTTGGCTGCAAGCTGATCCCCAGGGGTGGGTTCAGTCTGGTTTTGAGGGGAGTCTGAGCGCCACAGACTCGGGAGTTCTGCCAGTCTTTCTCAGATCAGAACGTCTCTGTGGTTTTTATTTTGTTTTTGTTTTTTGTGATTTTGAATTTTGCTCTGCGTTTTTCTCCCATTCAGTCCAAGACATTGTGTGGTCCTGGTGAGAGCAGCGGGTAGCAGTAGCTGGGTACCATCTAGTTCCTCTGGCTTCAAGAACATGAAGACTGTGGTTCTTGTGGCTCCTGAGCCGTTTGGACTAATGACTTCCTTGAGTCTTTGATTTCCTTCACTCTTCTTTCTCCAGTCGGGGACAGACAGTGGCTGCCTCTCTGACAGCCACTTGCCAGTGTCTATGACTCCAGTCGCTGCCCACCGCAGTCGGATGTGGAACATGGTCTTTGTGGACTAAAACCCTGTGTTTCTGAAAGATAAAAATTCTCCTTAGAAGAATATGGCAATATCTTATCGAAAGGTTGGAGAGTGTCAGAAGGGATGCTAGAGGTTGGAAGCTCTGGTTTCGTAGTAGGCCATCTTTGACCTTAAGGATTTCCTGCCCCTTGATGTTAAGGGGAAAGGGAATGGCCCCTGACCCTGATTTCAGAGAATCCTAGAGGGAGAAAGGCCTGCTGTAAGTTGACTGATAGTCTCCATTTTCGAAGCTTTTCTCCTCCGGTGGAAAACATCTGGGCAAAGATGAGCGGAATCTAATTTGTTTAGTGGGTGCCGTCACGTTTCTTGTAAAGCATGCTAACAATGAAGAAGCACCCACGATTCCTTACTAGCAGCGCTCAGAGAGAAATGTCTTTCGGAGGCTGTGCTGGTAGTCCAGATAGTAAATAGACTTGTTGGGTTTCCTTGGCATCGTAAGAGTATTAAGGGGAGAGAAATGGTGTCATTTCAAGTCACTGTCTTCTCTATATTCCCTCTTTTCAACAAAATTAATTCCATGGCTATGGCCCAACTATGATGGGCCATGAATCTGTCAGCAAACCTGCAGTCGCTCCAGATGACAAATACATACTGGATGTAAGACTTTGTGTTTGAGCTGAAGAGACGAAAGGGTTCTTCCTTTCCTGTTTCTTTCAACTCTAAAATATTATGCGCCCCATCATCGTTGTAAATAGCATCACTCTTCTTACTACCAGTGGTCCTTTTCTCCTTTCTTCCTCTAACCCATAGGGCTAGGGAAAGAGGTTGGGGATCACTCAGAATGCTGAGGGAAGAGGATGCCTGGCTTTCAGGAAGATATTTCACCAACTCTCTCATGAGTTCCTTGAGGGCGAGACGGAGGAAAGTTAGTTAGCTGCTGTCATTACGAGGCTTTGTTATTGAAGATAATTACCACGGAGCCTGCTCTGACCATGGAGACCTCACTTGTGCCGTGTAGACGGCTCCCGTGGGGCTTCAAAGGTGGTGAACTCTTAGTAGCAGATCTGCACACCTGTCTTCCAAGGCACCTCCGGGTGAGTTAGAACTGCCAACCTCTCAGCTAGCAGTCAGGTTCTCACAGGCTGTGCCAGGTGTGTGAAAACCCTAGCCCAAAGTGCATGTCTGGTGGCTTAGTGCTTATGTGTGGGTCTGCTAACCTCAGGGTCAACAGTTTGAAACTACCAGCTGCTCTGCAAGAAGAAGTGGAGGCTTTCTACTCCCGTAAAGAGTTACCTCCTCAGAACCCCACAGGGGCAGATCTACTCTGTCCTGGACAGTCACTCTGTGCTGTCATCGACTTGACGGCAGTGAGTTGGTTTGGGTTGATCACTACCGACAGGGAGCACTCAGGTGCCACGAGCCAGGATCTACCCCTGGGCAGCTTGGTCCACTTGTTCCCCATCAATAATGGGATGGAAATAGTTACCAGGAAGTAGATGCTGGCTCAGTACAAGGATGGTGTTTGATTAATTAGTGCTGTCAAAAATGGAATCGGTCTGCCCTGCAAAATAGTGTGCGCCTATAACTGGAAGTGTTTAAGCTGTGCCTTAATGACCACCTGTTGGTGATATTCTAGAAAGGACTCCAACTAGGGAGGGAGCTTGAGCTAAATTGTTTCAATTCCTTTCTAACCCTAGGATTCTGTTTCAGTTGCTGTGTACTGTGGAATTGACTGTTGAATCAGTTCCAACTTCCAAGGACCCTGTAGGACACAGTAGAACTGCCCCATCGTTTGACCAAGATGCTCATCTTTTTGGGAGCGGTTGGCCTCATTTGTCTTCTGTGGAGCAGCTGGTACTTCGAGCCACAGCATCCGCGTGTTTCACTCCCGCATCAGCAGGGCTTCTTAACATTTTATTACTCTGCCATATTTTAACTCTAAGATGAATCGTTAAATAATTTTTTTTAATTCATTGTAAATCACCAATTTACGAAGTTAGAAGCCTAGACTTTATCTCATCTGAGCTTCCTGGGTGGAGTGCCAGCAGTAACTACCTCCAGAGTTGGGGGACCTCCAAGTGAGTGAGTGCAAAATATGGGGAACAGGACAACGAACCTTTGATTTCTTCCTGGAAGGACAACCTAAAACTGTAGAGAAAGAAGACTTGAAATAGAAAATGAATGCCCAGCGGAGTCAAAGTTGTTGTTGTTGGTCAAGTGCCTTTAGCTAAGCAGCTCCTGAAGCTTTCTTTCTTTTTTTTTTTTCAAAACCAGGACGTGTCCAGACCATCTGGCCTGGGGACAGACGTCCTTCCCATTTCCCCGTGCAATCGTATGTCCTATGGCTGAGCAAGGGGCTTTGGTGATGCCTTTTTATAAAGCCAGTGAGGGCAAAACAGAAGCAGCAGGCTATCCTTCTGCCATTGTTTTCACTGAGACGTCAGACACGGTTCTTAATGCTTCAGGGAAGGAAAGGGAGGCTTTTACGCTCCCGGCTGGTGGGGGCCATGGAGCCAGGTCATTGTTAATAACTTTGCACAGCATTCCTGCCTTTGGGGTGCAATCAAGCTGATGCTCGATGTTGTAAGACAGCTTAGAGATGAATTTTGTGGTCCCTATGAACCACTGGAAAGCCTATGTGTCACAGCTCTACTCTGGTGCACGTGGGGGTGTCATGAATCAGAGTCAGCTTGCTGGCAACTGGCATAAGCTGGGTACATGCCACTGAGGCAACTCTGCGTCATAGCAACCCCGTGCACAGCCCGGGCTTGCGCCATCCTCGCCATTGTCGTCACATTGACGCCTGCTGCCGCAGCCATCATGGCAGTCTATGAGCGGGGAGGTGGAGGGGTGTTGCTGTTGTGTTGTTAGGGGCCATCAAGTTGGTTCTGACTCACAGCACCCCGACGTACAACAGAAGGAAACACGGCCCGGTCCCGCACCACCCTCACAATTGACCTTAGGTTTGAGCCCATTGTTGCCACCCCTTGTCAGTCCATCATATCCAGGGCTTGCCTTCCCCCCCCCCCCCTCCACTTTAGCATGACGCCCTTCGCCAGGGACTGGTCTCTCCTGACAACATGTCTAAAGTACGTGAGACCGTGTCTCCTTATTCTTGCCTCTAAGGAGGATTCTGGCTCTACTTCTTCCAAGACCGATCTGCACCAGCACCAGAATTGAAATGCATCGATTCTTCTTTGAGCTTCCTTCTTCGAAGCTCAGTAGTTTTGCCCAATTAGTGATGGGGAACCCTTGTTTGGAATCTGGGGAGGTGCGGTACAACATAAGTGAGCGCCTTTGGAGTTTGGGCACAGCCAGGTATGCAGGTTGTTTTAGAGGCAAGGTTGCAGTGGGCTGCCACACTAGTGGCTCCAATCGATGACAGCAGCAAAATGAAACTCCTTCCAGAGCCCACCTTTCCTCCTCAGTAAATGTGACAGACAGCTCCGGCACCTGCAGAAAAACAGTCCTGCTGTGGAAGGACCTTAGAATGTTTTCCTCGAAAAGCTTCATCAAGCTATGTGAATGACTTCCTGGGGGAAATGAAGATGTAATTTGTAAACATTTTTCTGGTGTATGTAAGAACCTGAAGCGTTGAAGAAATAATTTGGGGGAGCAATTAAATCTTAATAAAAAGCAGAGCGCAAACAAGATTACTTTCCTTGGCTGATGGGTGGCACATGCTTTGGAAGTTCTGGGGGAAGCACAGGGGCCTTTACCCGTTTTTATTCATAGATTCATCACCAGCCTAGGTTTTACACCCTGTCACTGTTTCCTTGTTTTCCTTTCCTTGTTTAAAAATAACAGCTAGCAGTTTTCACCTAGCGCTCACAGTCATTTGAAAAGCTGATATCTTTGGGAAAAACTAGCAGTTGATCATAAGACATCTGTAAAAATCACCAAAGCTTTGAGAAGCAAGCCTACTATATTAAGAACACCGCTGGCCTCTATGGTATAGGAGTGACGGGAGCTTTCTGATGGAGGGTTTCTGAACTAACCCCTCTGTCAGCCGAGCACAGGAAGTCCGATGGTCCCTAGAGGGTCAGCCATGGTCACCAGTTGGGCAGTCCAGCCGTACCTGCATTGACTTGACATTTCACTGCGGTGCTCGCCCATCTTCTGTCCCCGAAGTCGATACTGAAGTAGGCTCTGTCGCCTGTCCCACGCTGTGTGTGAGGGGTGGCATCTATCTCTTCACCCTCAAACTCACCAGGCTTCATTGTTGTTCCAGGAATGAGCAGAGTCGCTGAAAGTCACCATAGCGTTTTCGCTTTTGTTTTTTAGACTGTTTATTCTATGGCTCCATTCCCTTTCCCACAGTTGGCAGAGTTGAGGGAGAAATACACCTACAACATCACACCGTTCCCAGCCACAGTTAAAGCCACCTCACTTTCTGGGTAAGGTTGGTGTGTGTGTGGGTGCGCGCGCGCACTATTTTCATGATCATGATGGAAGATTTAATACCTTAATTTGTTATTGTAAACAAATTTCCCTTAATACCCCAAAATATCCAAGTAATTAGGCACTTACAATTCAAATGCCTCTTTCCTGAAGGATCTGCCTTATAATTCAATATGATTGGTGCAATCATAATATTTTTCAAAAGCATACTTTCCAAAGAAGTTGAAGTTTAACAACACTTTCAACAAAATAGCAACAACATATTTTAAAATATCAATATTAAAAATCTCAAAATTGAAATAGTATGGATGAATAGATATTTTAATTTAGACTAATCCAAAATTGGAAATTGACTAAGATAAATGTAGTAATTCAGTTTATGGGGGAAAAGTATACTATTCAGTTAATGGGCCTGGAAAAAATAGTCACATTTCACATTGTATATCAGGATGAATTCCATATGGGAAAAGAATTCCACTGAAAAGAATGAAATAATAAAATTAGCTGAAGAAAATGTGAAAGAATTTCTTTAGTTCTTTGGAATTGGGATGACCTTAATAACTTGCTCAATTTTTTTTAATGAACAAAAATATTAAGTTTAAATACACCAACATTTTTATTCCTGCAGGATCCAAAATAAAATAGCAAAGCAAAAGTCCTTAAGGTGAATATATATTGGGGGGAAATATTTGTTATGTACTACACAGAATAGTAACTTATATTCTAGTGTATAAAGTTCTTAGAAACCAATAAATGACCATCTAACTGAAAAGTGATCAGAGGATAGTAGTGAGATAGTTCACTCATAATAAGAGAAATGCAGTTTAAAATTAGATTGAGATACAGTCTTACTTATCAGATTGGCAAAAATTTTAAAAGTTGGTAACACTGTTGATAAGGCTGTAGGGAAACAAATACTCATACACTGCTGATGAGTGAATATTTAAGGATTTGGGGGGCAATTTAGTATTATTTATTAAAATTAATGTGTATACCTTGCAGTTCTACCATGGTAAATTATCCCACAGATTAAACTTGTACACATTATTATTGTGGGATAATATTGGGAACAAATCCAGTAAGCAACATTAGGGGCCTGGTCCCATAACCTGGGCCATGTTTGCACCACACAGTGCAGCTGTGAGAAAGGTGAGGAAGCTCTGTGTACGAACATAGAAAGATTTCTAGGGAGCACAGAAGCAAGGTGAAGAAGAGTGTGTACCGCATGCTGCTGTCTATGCAGTAAGACAAGCCAAAGGAGACTGTAGATGTGTAGTCCCATCTGCTATACAAGGGGAAGACAAAACGTTTGTGGAAAATGGAGAGACGTGGAATCTTTTCATGAACTAGGCTGGCAGCTAAATGGTATATAAACTCTGGGGCTTCAACATGTTTATGGGAAATGGTAAGATGATGCAAGTCTTTCATAAAAAACGTTTGAAGCCCCCCTGTGTGCAGAGTCACAAGAGCAAAGAGGCTATCTGCTCTCCTAGAGATTTACAGCCCCACAAACCTTCGATGGGTCACCATGGGTCAACTTGATGTTAGTAGGTTTGGGTGGGGATATACATATATAACATATAGATGTATGGTGTGTAAACCAGGTAACTGTAGCTGTAGCTATGTAAAGGCCCTCTTTTCTTTGAATATTTCTTTTTCTTCCTGTGATATTTTTCAAGACGCCATGGTAAGGTCAGAGACAGCGATGAAGAGAATGACCTGGACGATGAAGATGCCATTGCTGATGCCGTTGGCTGCCTCGGACCTTTCAGTGGGCTTTTAGCGCCCGAAATGCAGAAGTACCAGAAGCAAATTAAAGGTGAGTAGAGGCAGCTCTTCTTCAGATTCGCACGATGTGTTGATTCACTGCAGCCACACTGTCACCCTGCTCTGGACGTGCCTCAGTTCCCGCTGAGTGGTTATAGAGGCTGTCACTATTGAAGGTCTCTGTTCTATCGCTTAGAA